ATTCTTACAAATAATCAACATTTGGTGATTCACATATTTTAAAAATTTAAAATAAAACTGAAAAGATAAAATGATAATAAATAACGAAAATGATGTAAGCCAATGAACCAGAGACATTACCAGTTCTAGCCCACCGTTGCTCAGATAATTTCAAGGTGTGTTAGAGCAAAAGTGAACAAATCTGGGTACCCAAGCCCTCACTGACTGGAGAAAGGCAGGAAAGACAATGACACTGGGCGATCAGAAAAAGGACATATAGTGGGTGTGTCATTGACTTCACTATCACATTGAAGTTTGAGTGGGCTCCAAGAAGATGTAGTATTTATATTCTCAATGCCTAAGAACTTTCTTTTTCACTTATTTTTTCATTCATTAAAGTTATTGAACATCTACTTTGAGTGTTGTACTAGACCTAAAAGGGATGAATCATATAGTTCCTATCTTTCAGAAATTCTTAATCAAGTGTAGAGACATGTACTGTATTGACAAATGCCAGCAAAACACCTGCTCTGTTCCAGACACTGTTTCAGTCACCAAAGTGGAAAAAAATGAGTTAATGAGAGACCCTGTCTTGAGTAATTTGTAATCCAGTGGATTTATTACAGTGTCATGAGCATATAACTAGGAAATGTCCCAAGATCTATGGAAACAAATCCACTAAGAAAAGGGGGCTGGACAGTGAAGTCTCTATGGGATCTTTACTGCCTGAGTTGACCTTGATATGTAGAACTGGGCAATGGCAGAAGTAGAAGTAGTACAACAGTCTTTTCCCCAGGTCTCTCTAGAATTGAAAGCATTCTAGAGTTCCCCACTCTGTCTGCCTATGAACTCTTGCCGTATTTCCTTGACTCAGTTCAAGTGTTGCTGTCTCGACAAAAACCCTTCAGATCTATCCCCACCTCCTACCCCAGATTTGTAGAACTGGCTCGTTTTTGTCTTCTACATCCACATCTATCACAGCCATGACAATATCATATTTTAATTTATTAATTTACCTTTGTTTTGCCCTTTGGGTTTATGAGGATACTGACTGCACGGAGAGATGGGTGTGAATTTTCATGTTTAGCTAAACTAATCCCCAAATTCTGTGGCTATGAAGCATTTCTGGAGTATCATTCTTCTGAGACTCCTGTAAAAATGGCAATTTATGATTCTTGAGATGGGAAAATGATCCCTCAAGGCTTCTGTAGCAAATTGGGTGTAAGGAATACTCATATGGTGGCATTTGCCCTCTCATGGCTCAGAGAACCACCTCCTGACACAATGGTTTTGCTAGGACAAAGATGTGATATCTTCATTTGAGGGTAGTTGGGATGAACTTGTTCCACTTGGTCCACGCAAAACAACCATCTTTTCTCAGCACTTTAAGACATCTCCTCCCACGGGGTAGCTCTGGGGAAGCTGTCTGCTGCTTCTTGCTTCTAAACATCATTTGCTCTTCTTTTCTAGCTGCTTGGTTCTGATCCTGGATTCCTTGCATTACATACTATGGAGGCCAGGCTTTTGGGTTCTTTACCCAAGAGAGAACTTGGGTCAGGCAAGGGGGCTGCTAATGAAAGGAATACAGGGCCAGTTTTCCTTTTTTTTTTTTTTTTTTGTTAATTAACTTTTTTTAATATGAAATTTATTGTCAAATTGGTTTCCATGCAACACCCAGTGCTCCTTCCAACAGGTGCCCTCCTCAGTCCCCAGAGCCAGTTTTCCAAGTATTTGGTCATTAACAGTCTGGTTACAGCTTTAGGGCAACCTTTCTAGGGGCCTAGAAATTTCTGCTGAATATGAGGACTTCGGGAAGCTCGAAACTTAGTGCAAAAGCCTCACCTGATCTGAAGGTGGATGAAGCCGAAAGAGATTTCCTCATGCCTTCCAAGTATCTGTCCCAAAAGTCTCATTTCTCCTATTTCCATGGCCAAATGAATTGTCACATTCATGTGCATCCCTTCCCCAGCAATCTGTTTATCAAGAAAGAGAAGCCTGTTGTCTCCCAATTTCTGCTTTCCAGGTGACTGATATTAATTAGGTTGCAGCAGGCACAATTTATCTCTGGTAGAAACCAAAGCAGATGAAAATGCTGCCGTGCAGTAAGATTTCTTTTTCTTGAAAGGATGAATGGGATGAAGATACTTATCTGCGAGAACAGGTTTCAGGTGGAGCTTCCATCAGCAGTGCTTTGAAATGCATTGTTAGAGTATGGCTGATCCGGGTAAGAAATAAAAATAGCATGTCATATTTTGACTACATTAACTCATTTCCAACAGAAGAGGCTGAGGCCTCTGCACATTGATAGACTTGCTCTGAAGGAGCAAAGCACCAACTAATAACTCTGAAGTTGGTTCTCAGTTATTGGCATTTCTTGAAAGATATTGCTAATTTCCCCAAAGCTATGGCTCCACTGTAGAATTCATCTCAGTCCCCCAGTACAGAGAACAACAGTTTTAAATCAACCTAGCCTCCCCCTTTTATTATTATTGTGTGCCCCTCTAAAATTGTCCCTTCTGTTGAGTTTGAATATGGAGTCAGCTCTGATCAAGAAGTTGGCAAGTAATGAGAACAGTGGGACAGTGAAATAACTGTATTCTTTCCCCCACGTGATGCCAGGAAATTTATTTCTTTACATCTCTTAGCTTCAGTTTCCTCAATAAAAAGTGGGAAAATTAAGTCCATTTTGTGGGGTTGATATGATATTTCCTGATCTGTGTCAAAGAACCTGGCAGACAATGAGCACATTCACATCCCTTCTCAGTGACAACTGAGATGCCTTTCAAAACATGGAAATTTGTAATGAAATCTGAGTTCCAAAGAATACTTTTTCAATCAACATTTTTTAGTCCTCCTACACTATTTCAGATAGACTAAGGGAAACAAAAACAAAAACAAAGAAACCAAAACCCTGGCATCAGTTGGACTAGAATCTCTGGGTGTTAGTTCTGGCTTTAGTATTAGTCAGCTATACGCACCTTGCCAATACCCTTTATCTCTCCCAGCCCCACTGACCACATCTCAAAGCAAAGGGGGTAGATAGCTTCCAATTCTAAAATGGTATGCAGGTAGAAAAATATGCTCTCATCCTTCTCTTCTGGCTATCCTATCATATTCTCCTTTGTTAGTTTCTTTTCCTCGACTTAACTCTTTCATGTTGATATTCCCCTGGCTTTTTTCTTGAATCATCTTTCTGTTCTTGATGTGTGTCACTGTATCCTTGAGATGCATCGCTGACTCCAATAACACTGACTTCCCAAAGGCCCTGGGAGATGACTTCTATATCAATTTCACCAACCCAACCACTGCTCGGACTCATTGACCTACTGGACATGTCCTCTTGAGTTTCCCCTAACAATAAGATGATATGTTCCCAAGCCGAACATATCATCTTATTCCCTAAAAATCTACTTACATTCCTCTTTCCAGAGATTGTCATCAACTCAACCTGCCCTGTCCAAAAACCTGGGAGTCACTATAAATCCTTCCTCCTTTTCCTCACCACATCTAATTTCACCAAATCGAAGATCATTGCGTTTTCTTTACTTCTTTGAAAGCTCTCAAATTGATTGTTTCTCATCGTCATTATTTCATATATAACCAGTTCCACCATTTCTTCCATTTAGTTCAAAATACTGTTTCTGGAACCCCAATTTTATCCTACCCTGCCCTTACTTAGAGTCCACTGATGTGCTCTTTAAAAAAGACTCCCTTGGAGTCTCCAAGTCCTTGGCATTGAGTGTGAACTCATCTATGAACGGTCTCTCCCCTCACACAAACATTCTTTTTCCTCATGTTCCCAGCACTATTGCCCCCGGCACGACAGCTCCGCTCTTACTGCATCCTTTACAGCTTCCAGAATACAGTATGCTCTATTCTATCATGTTTCCGAAGCTTTGCAAAAGCCATCCCCTCTACTTGGAATGCCCTCCTTCACCTGCTCTATGTGAGAGCCCATCGGCCTTTTCCCCATGGTGATTAAGAGCCCATGCTTTGGGGTAAGACATACTGGATATCAAATCCCAGATCTGGTACTTGTAAACTTTGTAAGCAGGCTGTTACTGCTCTCTAAATCCCAGTTATATCACCTTTAAGTGGAAATAGCAATATCTGCTATATAATGTCATTCTAAAGATTAAATATGATGTATCTAGCATGGCATCTGGCACATAGAAACATTCAGTAGTTGTTAACTAACACGTGGCCTTTACAATGAGAATCTAAGCGCCTCCCATCCCCAACTCCATCTCTCTACGTCCTGAGCTGGAATTTAAGCTCCATGATGTCAGGACAGAGTCTATTTTGTTGACGTATATCTAACACTTGTCACTCTGTCTGAGTCACAACAGGCCAACCATAAACAGTTTTTCATTTCCATTGAGATTTGACTCCAACACTGTTCCTTCTGGAAAGCTCTTATTAAATCCCTAATCTTCACTCAGCATTGGTTAAATACTCCTCTTAAGTAACAGGCTCTGCTTATATGCTATCGAAATGGTTTCACTTTCTCTTCTAGACTCTTGAAGTTCCGGAGGACAAAGGCCTCAGCCATGTGTCTCCTTGACTCCCCATCACCTTTCCCAGATCCATATGGTAGCACTCAGAAAAAGTTTTTTGAATTAATAGGTGAATGAATGGATTCTTTTACTCGTGTCGCCTTCTCTCTTTGATTTCCTCTCGCCAGGCTCCACTTACATTCTGCTTGTAAGAATCAAGCACGGAATGTGGAAACCAAAGGATATCAGGCAGGTGAGACCACTCCTTCACCCTAGAGTAGACATCATAGCCTCGTGGCAATCTGCTAAAATAATCATATTGACAGTGACACCTGGGTGGGGAAGTTTCTTCCATCATAGGAGCTTTAGACAAGCTTTCCCTTGAGCAAGGGCATGAGAACAGAACAGACAAGCTGCTGGAGCCTGTGCAGACTTCCCTGAAGGAAGTCTGACAAGCTGGAGTGTAGGTAAGGGTCCACCGCGTGACTCTGCCTGTAGGGGTTTAAATAAGAACCTGGGAGGACTGTGCATTTCTAAATGGTTGGGTGAGAGCGGCTGAGAGATGGTTTGAAAAGGAAGAGGAACACTTCTCTAGCTGTTCTCTGGGCCATGGCCTCCAAACCACCTTGTAGGTAAGGCAGAAAGCCGGGCTGACCCTGATATGCATCGAAATGAAAGGGTTTGTGTGCAAATCAGGGAAAAATTCTTTCAGCACCTACAGGACTGATGCCAGGGAGTTAACATTTGGAAACCTCAGCTCAGTGCCAGGTCGTTGTTTGAAAAGCAGCAGATCTCAGAGCAAATGCCAGTGAGGTACAGAGGGGAAGGAGTGAGGACAAGGACTCCAGGAATTAGCTATTCAAGAATGTTCAAGAAACCTGATAGCTCTTTTCCTTGTCAAAAGAAAAAAGAGAGAGAGAGAGAGAGAGAAAGAGAAAAGGACATTCAAAGGAGCGTTCATCGAAGCAGGCTGCTCAGGGTTTTCAGGGAATTGGGAGGGCAGATGCTACAAGGTTATTGGAGTCAGTGTCAAATGCGCGAACAAAGTGGCAGTGACATGAGCTAAGAAATGACTAAGCACTCGCGGCCCGGAGTGGCTAATAGATGGATCCAAATGCCAAGTGAAGCAGTTGTCTCAGCTCATTTGAATACTTCTGAAGAGGTGATGAACAAATAGCAGGAAGGATGCAAACTCTTCTCTTCCAGAATTTCCCAAGATTATAAGCTCATACTGCCTGACTCTGTGACTCCGTGATTCTGATCGCTCAGCCGTCCTTCTTGGTCCCTTCCCCTGGAATGTTTGAACCAGTGCACACCCGGTTTCCATTTGCTACGGGGCTTGTGTTCTTAAGGGATCGCTTCCTTTTATTTTTAATGTTAATTTATTGTGGGAGAGAGAGAGAGTGAGCAGGGGAGGGGCAAAGAGAGAGAAGGGGAGAGAGAATCCCCAGCAGTCTCCGTGCTGCAGCACAGAGCCCAATGCAGGACTCGATCTCACCAACCAGGAAATCATGACTTGAGCGGAAATCAAGAGTTGGATGCTTACCCGACTGAGCCGCCCAGGCGCCCCTAAGGGATCACGTCTTATTGGCAGTGTGGGAATCTCCCTCTCCCCTATGAGGCTACTCAGAGTTTTGAGATAACTCAGAAAGTGTCCGGGTCTGACACTCCAGCAATTAAGCTTTCGGTTTATACAGAATTTTCTTCTTCTTCCTCCCACTCACGTTTCTCCTTTTCCATCAGTGTTTCTGTATTTTTGGGAGCCTGAAGAGTTGGGGTCTGTGGGATATGGTGATGTGACGGGGGAGACAGAGAAGGCTAGATTCATATGACACATTTTGTTTTTCCTCAGGGTGTGTTCTTATGTGAAGGCACCTTGTAGATGCTTGATAAATATTCCTGTCCCTGCTCTTCCCTTTCCATGTTTAGTTACCTCTTTCCCTTGACCCTCTTCATTTTTGCTTTAGTAACAAGGCTAAAGATTGCTTCGAAAAGAATTATTGATAATTACTGAGGGTGATAAAACTACCATTCACTGTGCATCTCTTCTGCACTGGACTCAATCTTAGGCATTTTCATGATCTCAATTATGCCTTATTGCGCCACCAAATAGGAGGGGCAACTATACCCATTTTACAGGTGAGGAAACTGAGTAAACACAAAGTAAGTCATAGCCTGATAGCTAAAAAGGGATGAAGATGGAACTCCAATTTAGGTTTTTTGGACCCCCAAACCTATTATTATGATTATTATTATTATCATGATGCTGCATTTCTCTCGTCGACAATGCAAACATGGCTTTCTTGCAGCAAACCCATGCCATTCATTTGGTGTCAGGGCCAAGCTAGTTATGTTGGTGAATTGGGTTTAGGTGGCCCTCCCTTTAGCATGCTCTCTTCAACTTCCTCTGCTCAAACAGCAACCAATCATGCCACCCTTTTGGTTGAGCACTTCTGATTACCTCCTGGAACTGGGACTCACCCACCCCATATATTTGTCCTTCCAGGGCCCAAGGTCTTTATTAGCTAGTTAAATAAACTTATCTGGACTAATAGCTCTGAATTTCAAAGTTAGTGCCCTTCCTTAGGGAAGGGATGGGAAATTCAGTTAGTAGAAGGTTGCCGGAAGAGAGAGAGAGAAGAGAAATGTTTGAAGTAGACAAAAGTTCATTGCCTCCAGGTCCTCCACTCTACCTGCATGTTGGTAGTTTGTTTCTCACAAAAGCTCCACTGAAGAACTACTGAGTGTTGAGATTCTAGCCTCTAATTTTATGAATAATAAGCTCCAGTTAGGAATGACTTTTCCTGATTTGTTCCATATTTCTTGAGCACCTACTATGTGCTAAACTCTTTGGTAGGTGGGCGATTCAGTGGGAGAATAAGTGACGTCTCTGGGGAGGTCCTACGCTCCTGGACGTTTTCTCACCATCTTTGTCTGCTATGGACATCTTTATGGCCTGTTGAATGCTTAGGAAGACACCCTTGAAAAGACCAAGTGTCGAGTAGCTAGGGAGAAAAAAGATTAAAAAAAAAAAAAAAAAGAGGGATATTAGTTTTAAACTGCTCATTTAGAATTACTAGTTTCAATCAATGACAATTTTAAGATATTAAATCCATTCTGGAGTAACTTGTCAAAAAAAAAGCAAGCAAGAAAGAAAAGGTGCCATTACTGATATTCTCCAAGGTTTTTCTAATAAGATCGGGGTCAGTGATGGGAAATAATCTGGAAGATGAATAAGGTGTCAGAATGCAATTGAGTTCCAAGGAGTTAACGGCACTTCCCGGTAAATGCAGCTGGAGCAACTTTGTTCTGAGATGGAGGTGTTTGGCGAAGTTGTCCCAAGGACCCGCTGCTGATTTCTTACCACATACACGGTGTTGGACCTTCCTTGTCTTTAACCCATTAAGAAGCATTTTTTTGGCCTTCTCCTCTGAGACAAGGAGAGAAAATGGCAGCCGTGTGAGTCTCTCTGCTCCTCTGATTCTACACCCATTTCTATTTTGTCCAGAAGCCTTGATGGATTCTTCACGTACACCCAGTGGAACCAAAACCTGGCTCCATCAATTGCTAGGTGTGTGACTTTGGGCAAGCCTGGAACTCTTGTAAGCCTCAGCCTCTTTATCTATAAAATGGGACTAATATTACCAGTGACTAATAATAACAGCAAATATTGATTATTTCTCTGTTCCAACATGGCAGGAGATTCATCCCCTCCTTGGGTGCTCATAGTCCCCAGGAGTTAAGTGTGATTACACCAGCCAACAGCTATTATGATCAAGAAGTTTGGTCAGTTCAGGAACCCCTAGAGGTGACATATAAAAATATTCATGGTTACCTTTTTTAAAATTGCAAATGACTGCAACATTTGTGATAACCATGTCTGCCAGGGAAGAGTTTTCTTTACTTAATAAATGGCATACTTCGGAAGAGTTTCTGCAACTCAAGTACCTGGTGCTCCCTGCATGCTCCATAACCCCAGTTCAGTAGGATAGTAAGACATCTGAGTGACTGAAAATATATACTAGCTAGTAAACAAGCAGGGGCAGGGCTTATGTGCAACAGGGATTCCTTGTCAAGTGCGGAAAGAGATGGAGAGAGAAGAAAGGAAAACAGGGGTGTGTGTGTGTGTGTGTGTGTGTGTGTTTACATGCATGAATCAGTGCCCTTGAAAGTGAAGCAGGAAATCAATGTCCTCTCCTCTGCGACCTGCTCTGTGATTTGGTCTGGAAATTCCCAACCTTGAAGAGCTCAGGAGATGCATGGATTTCATTTGCAGCGGGGCCCCGGCCCGGGCCTGAGCCTGGCAGAGAGCACATTCTTCTTCTTCAGGAAAGAAGGGAAGAATCCCTTCAGCTCTGCCAGCTCTTCTCTCCATCCCTGCTGGCTTCTTGTCTTTTCTCTGTTCTACTCTTGTTATGAGATTTGTGAGAAAAGAAAAATCAATTCTCTAGTTAAGGTCAGCCAGTAAAATTTGCTCATAGGTCTCCTAACCACAGCCTGATGAATCCAGCCACATTTCTCCCGAGTTACGATTCAATAGAGCCTCCTAACAGCCTTTATCATGACTTCCCTTCACGCCGGTCCCTCAGCAGCTACCTTACATGATCACTCTTAAACCTCCCTGTAGGGAGATGATTTTGTCTTTTAGTTTTTCTGGATCATTTGGAGAGGTGAACTGGGCTGAGGGGGTTCGGTGAGGGTGAGGGTGAGGGCTCAAAAAACAAAGCCCTGGGTTTTTAGCTACATCTAGTTGTCCTAGTCAGTGCTCGCCACTAGTAAAGTAAGAAAGGGTAGCTTCAGAAAGTGCTCACTGGCAAAGGCTTAAGATATCTTTTTCCTGGCTTCACCTGGTTCTTGAATCACCACGTGACACCTCTTCAATCATTCGCTCATTTATGGTTGGCCACGGGTGAGAAACATCTTATGAGCTGCTACCATATGGGAGGTAAAGATGCTACGGAGAAGAAAGAGTGCTGGTTGTTGCTCGTATTCTAAGAGAGGGGAGACAGAGAAGCAAACCAGTAACTCATAGAGGTTTTAATTGCTTTCCAATAGCAAGAGAAGCACCTGTTCTCCCCACAGGAGCAGAGGGCATCAGAGGAAACCTTTCTGAACATGGCTGCAATGCATTGAGTACTGAGAGTCAAAGATGAGTTAATTAGGGGGAAAAAGCACAGGAAGATAGTGTGCGTGGACACCAAAAAGACCTACGCTAAAGTTGTATGTCCACCACATACTATCAGTGTTACCTTAAGCAAATTATCTATCCTCTCAAAATGTAGGTTCCTGAACTCTAAAAGATATATAGCCTGCTTTTGCAGGGTTTGGGTGAAAATTAGTAAAATAGAAGCATAAGACTTAAGTCTGGCACTGAGTAGATATTCAATACATGGAGACTCTAATTTTGTTATTATTATGTATAATAATTAGTTGTTTTATATTATGAATCCATCGAGGGTCAATTCAATAATTAATTAGAACTAGAGCATGATTCATCGAGGCAATGAGAGAATTTCAGTTTGGCAATAGTATGGAGGAGAGGAGCAGAAAGCCTGAGCAGATGGCATGTGTGACTAGTGAGGCCAGAGCCAGTTAATTAAGGGCCTATAGCCTGCATTAAGGATTGGAGATT